GTCCTCTATTTTCATATCTAGATATTGAAGTATTGTTTAGACTTATGTGATAGCCTACTATTTCCAAAGGTCCATTGTTCAAGCAGTATGTTTTTTCAAAAGCAGTGGCCACACATGTATTAACACATACAGAAATTGAGAAGCTGATTAAGTGTCCAGTCAATCAGTCCACACTCCTATAGACATAGCTTTTAGCTCTGACTCTGGACATCCGATCATTAGGTATCTTCCTTATTGTTATTTCCTTTCAAAAGCCTCATTTTCCAACAACTTTAGAAATAAATGAAAAAAAAAACAAAAAACTGTTCTGAAATATTCCAGCCCTTATTGCACCAGTGAAAGTCACTAGTCACGTACAGATAAAGTTACTAGGGAGAAATTCTTGTAAAGAAGTAAGATTTTGTTCTTGAAGCTATATCCTAAGCACTGACACTCAAGGGCCCCCAAAGCACTACCTTTTCTTCCCTGCAGTTGCAAAAAGTCCCACCTACATAGTGGTACATTGCAGTTTTAAATTGATGTTCCCTTCTGTCTGCCTGTGGAGGAAATAATTTTTGAAGAACTGCCCAGATAAATCCCATTGGTTCTATATGTCAAAGGGTGATGAAGTAAATTTGTTCTGTCTCTCAACAGTCTTACAATAATATCCTTGGGACAATCTGTATTCAGCCTTACTCTTACACCTATACAATGCAATTAGTTCACCTTGTCTTGGGCAACTTCCAGCTTCAAACTATGCAGCTTCAAACCCCTGGCAGACATCTAGGCTAGCAAGGATCATTCAGAATCTCAGGGAGTTCCTAATCAGCAAGAAAGAAAAGATCATTGGCAAGCCTATGCACACAGTATATGTATACATTGGAGTATGGGTCATGAGTTGTTAAAGTTTTCATTTCATAAGTTTGCAAGGGTATAAAGGGAGCATTTGTTGGCAGGGACTGAGCTAGAGGACTGCAAAGAAAGTCTCTGATTGAGAAAAGGTTTATTTTTTAAACAGCTTCTCAAATTATATTGCTATTATACTGTAAGGTTTTTCTTCAAATACTAGTAACTAAAATGTGCTCCATTTTATTATAAAGAGAGCAGAGAATAATAATTTTTGGCTGTGTGAAATTTAGGTGCACATTGTAAGAAGTTGTAGCTTTCTTGATAATTTCAATGATGTACTTTAGCTGTCAGATTTCTAAATAGCCCTGTTCCTCCCTTGTCTGACAGTGGTGAATTTAAAGTATTGATAGACACAGAAGGAACTTAATCTCCACTGTCCTCTTCATGCTGAAGGCTCTCTTGGTTCTACTCCCAAAAAAAGGTACTTACATTAGTATCAGCATAATTCTGTTAAGGATTCCAGGTGTCACTGTGGGTATGTTAAGAAACAGTGACAGACAAAATAGCAAGGTGTTGGACGGATCAGTTTGATACATGCAAAAAAAAAAAAATTTCTTGTTCCTGCTGCTTATTCCCACTCCAGTTCAAGCAGTGTCTTAAACTACATTTTTACTAATTTTATAGTATGCCCTTTAATGCCAAATGCCCAAATGCCTTTTAATAGTCATCTTACTTCCTCATCTCTTATGATACTCTTGCTTGTAAGGGATGTTTACAGCCGCATTCCATAACTACAACAGCATTTACAATGGTATTCAATATATTGCTTTTAATCAGTAAAGTCCACTTCAGGTTGTGGGCGTAACAATCCACAGGTGAGCTTCAACATGTGAAAGAAGAATCCCTAAATTTATACCCCTGATGGCAAGCTAAAACACAATGTAGGGTATGTCATGGCAGCGTGAGTAAATGCCCTCATTTTTGTTCACCTACTTTGCTTGACAGCCACAAGGTGAAACCATGACAGCAAAAAATTTTGTGTAAACTGGCTATGGGTGAACCAGGGTAGGGCAAGTGGCCTGAAACAACATCTATCATTTCAGGAGAGGTGTGCCCACCTCTCCTTTAGTCAGACCTCCCCACACACTCACATTTAGCAAAGCATGTTGACTCTGCAATCTTTTTTCTTCCTTGACATAAATACAAATTGTTGAGACCTTTCTTTTTCCAACCAGATATGCTGCAAGGCCTCCCTCTTTAGCTGAGATGTGAGTAACGTAATATGGGAAGAACTGCATCCTTAGCTCTAATTCCAAGTTACATATATACATGTATGTATATACATGTACATTTAATTACACTTGCTGGTAGACATTGTTGGCAGCCACAATATACAGAGAAACAAATAAAACTCCCAGCAAAATAAATCTGACTGAGGATATTCATTTCGAGCAAACTGCCTAGCTGTACCACTGAAGACATGTCCATCAGGTATTAAAAAAAACACAACTGTGAGAAGCTCTCCCTACCTGAGCAGGCCAAAGACCTGAGACATTTCCTGACGCAGAATCTTACAGATTGCAAGATTCTAACTGACATCTGTCCTGTTGAGTGAGACATAACTCCTCCTCGTATTGAGCTAGGGGCTGTGTGACAAGCTATAGTGCATTAATCCTTCAAGAAGGAGCAAGTGGCATGCTAGTTGTTTGGTGGAAGTTACTCAGGACTGCAGCGTATGCACTCCCCACTTGTGTGTTTGCATGGTTAAGGTAACCACTAAAGCTGTCATCTCACCTCTTTTAAAATATCACATACTATCCCCCTCATTGGTGTCTTTCTGTAACTTGCAGAGGAAGTTGTCCTGCTGTTTTGTTCAGAAAAAAATGTACCCATACACTTCTTTGCACCCTCTCCCACCCACTGGGTAGAGGGAAAGCTGACTGCTTAGCACATCAAAAAGCTATCTAATGGGTTTAAACACTGTAATTGAGGAGTGATTACTCTAAGAAATTCTGACAAGGTAGAAATCAAGTAAAGTACCCAAGCAATAACTTGAAATAGAAAGAACCTATATAGCTGCACCTATATATCTAACACCTACAGCTAACAAATCCTGATCCATTTAGCAAATGTGAACATAAACCATGAAAAGTACGTATGAGAAGGGAACAATGTATACCCTGTTTAGGTAGTTATTGAATGCTTACATGCAAACAGTTTCAAGAAGCTTCAAGACTGAAATTTCCCTGCTCCCTGTTTTCCTCCTTAAAAATAAATCACTGTGTCTGAACATTGGAACTGTGGCCTATTGTGAGCTGAGCTGAAATTATGTAGTGGATTCAGTGTATAGTGGAAAAGCAGAAAGCTGCTGCTATCTTTGTGAGCTAGTTGAAAAGTGAAAACAGATTAGAAAAATAAGTTCTTCAATAGGCAGCAACATTGCTTTCACACCAGATTTGATGAATAAGTCCTCCCAGCAGCACTAACACCAGATACGCACATTGCATGGATTAGCAAGTTTTAGTCCAGGCAGAAGAAAAAACATTTTTTTTTTCCTTTCCAGTAACTGCTGCAGGTATATTATCTAATGAAAACACAAGAAGATTTCTCTAAGGAACGTGAAATTCGTTTGCTGTTTCCATCAAACAATTATATGTTGTTCATCCACTATCTGAGAAGCACTGAGGCATATCCAGACCTGATTACATTTAGTCTTAGCTCTGGATCAGACTACCGCACTAGGGTGGCAAGCAGTTTCTCATCCCTGCCATACCAGATCCTTGATGCAGGCATACACAAAAGAAGGGTTTCTAATAACAATATAGCCACATTTGCTTAAATCTTGATCATCCTAAATCAAAATGCCTTTGATCATTAATAGAGCCTTTCAGACTGTTTCAAATTAAAGGATAAATTTTCAAAGACATGTAACAGGGATTTGCTGACTGTTTTCTATTAACACCAGTGGGAGGTAAACAGCTCAATCCCCATATACCGCTCTGAAATGTACCCTTTCAAATGCTTTATTTTTAAAAGGCATCAGACTTTTCAACAACTAGGAAGCTCCTAAGAACAACAGTATACTTTCCACTGATGATATCTGTCTGCTAAAGCTACTTCCAGGAAAACATTAGGGCTTCAGAAAACAGAACAGCTCAAAGACATTTTTACAGAAAAAAAATAGGGAATGCTCCTAGGGGTTGTGCCCCTGGAGCATATATTAACAAAGTATATATTCTTATGTGTATGCCAGACTCTCCCCTTCTGCATACAGCGCAGGACATGGGGCTAAGTGAAAACTGGTCCTGAAACACACAGCACTTCTGCATGCCAGTGCTCCCTGGAGGCTCTAACTTCTAGAGATAATTAGCAGGAGGTACACCAAAAAATCAGCTCAGCACAAAGTACCCTCAGAGGAGCATGAAGGTTAAAAAAGATTAGTCATGTTGTGACACAAACATCATGCAACGTCTGATGAACAGAACAAAGGTTACGATCCAATCTCTTCATTCTAAATATGGAGGGAAACAGAACGCTTCCTCAATTGTCTGCAAATTTTGTTCATATACGCTAAGTGCACAGTGTGGTCCGTAACAGTTCTGAAAAACATGGTAGTTTATGTAAGTGCATAAGGGAAATCAAAATCTCGATTGCTTTTTGGGAATGCAATAAATTACACATTCTCCTCCCCAATGATTTTTATCATTAATAATGTAATCTCACAAACTAAACACCAGAAGGTGTAAACAAGTTGTTATAACATATTCATGAGAGCTATTCTTCCCATTACATTAGGATTTTTCTATTCAATAAGGAATTTTTACAAGTTATCTCTGAGAGACAGATAAGGATACATGGAACTCCCTCTCTCATATCCTTTATTAAATACATATTTCTTATTTAATTAAAAGGCTTTGTAAGATTACTTCTGATACATTTGGTCAAATGGCAAAGACTAATTAGAACAACCACTGTTTCAAAGCCCATTAGAAAATAACCAATCTCAGCAGCAAAAGTAACAAACATGAACCAAATATTAAGACATAACCTCTTCAAGGTCATAGTTCAAGATGTTCCAACTCTCTAATTTTCAGAAACTACCTAACACCCCTCCCCAACCCCCTCAAAACAAAAAGATAAAAAAGGGAACAGGTATCTGAGAAAGTACTTACCACGATGTCTTCAGGAAAAGTATCTCGACTGAAAGAGCCATCATCAAACATAACTTCATAGAAAAGCTGAGATGTCACTCCTATGACTCTGCAGCTATAGTATCGTGTATTTCTGTGTTTCGTTATGACTGTCTGCCCAACTGTAATGGACTTCTCACATGCTTTAGTTCTCTTGAAAAAATGGAAAGAAAAATTTTAAAATACCAGTTGATTAATCAGAATTGTATCTATTTTAAAGCTGAATCGATAACAATTCACTGCTCAGTAGAAAATCTTCAAACACAAAACTGTTCCTCACAGTCATGATCACACAAATTTGTTTTACACTCAAAATTTTTGCATTTTATGTGAAAACAAACAGCATCTCAAGAATAAGAAATTACAGCACTCAAAAATATTTTTGCATTTGATGCCTTCAAACCATTTGACAGTGGAGCATGTGTTTGAGGAGAGCACATGGTGAACTTAGACAATGGTTTTGTAATGTTTTAAAAGGTGGGGTTTTCAAGTACTGGATTTTGATATGGTTTTTCATAATTTGTATTTTGCTGTCTGGGATGACATAATTTAATGCATATCCGGTTCTTGTCAGAGCTGTCTACAGCAGTGTATCTGAGTACGTTCTTAGCTAAGGCTGTGCTAAACATTTGCTTTAAGACTTCAGATAGCATTGATTCATTCCTCATCACTCACTTATCTACTATATTAGTAACAGTATTTTTTTTTTCACTTTGCATTCCATACAGCTAGTTATGTCAATCAGAAGTGTACCAGGGTTGTTAAACTATGCAAAAATTCTACACCAGTAACTGCTTAACAGTTTCTATGAAAAAAAAAAAAAAAAGAATAGAACTTTCTAAGTCAGCAAATGCTCAGAAGCTCACATGATGCTGACAGCTGTTCCACATCAACACCCAACTAATGTATACCCATGAACTTCCCACTTCAAAGGCAACCTTCTTCACCTGGAAAAATAAAATCAAGAGCTTCTTATCCTAATAAGACTTTACTAGATAATTTTTTACTTTAGTCTATTCACTTATTTGAAAAACAAAACAAAACAACAACAAAACCAAACAGAACTGGAGAGTATTAACTGAATTACTTCCATGAGATAACAGAAAGCAGAAGTTTGAGATTACACCACAGAATTCCAAGAAGAAATACCCCTATTACAAGGTTTAAATGTTTCTGAAGTCTGAAAATTGAACTCTTCTGAGTTGGTGAATAAGCATAACATAATATTTTAATAGACAATACAGTCATTTAATGATAAAATTTTCAGAGAAGAAATGTCGTAGTTCATTACAAAAACAAAGGATGAAACAGAAATGCATCCTAGTTCAAGGAGAAGATTATTTTTAGTATGTTGCCTTGATAGGATTCTTGATTTATTTTCCAGAAAAAATATTGACAAGCACACTCTACAATTGATTGCATGTCCCAGAGGACATTTCCTGTCAGAAAATCCTAAGAATTTATTGATGTTAAGAATGTCAGTTTTGATCAGAAAGGACAGCTGTTATGTAACGGAGTCTATCAGATTAAAGAAACAGCTGTGGTAGTTATCAGATTATTGAGAAAGCTGTAGTTTAAAAAGCATGATTTTTTTTAGCAGTACCTATACTAACAATGAACTAAGATAGCAGCAGAAGTACAGAAAACAACCAGATACAATGGAAAAAAGGTTAACCTCTCCTTCTGCATGTGAAAATGACTTTTCCCTGCATGTTCTGTATGTCAGGACACAAAATCTTGTTAAATAATACACATAAACTAATGGATATAAAATCATAATAAATAGCTATCCTGAAATAGGCACCTAATGCATATCTATCTAGAAATGTCATCTGACTACAGTTTTTAATGGAAGATCTTTAAAATTTCTTTCTAAATATAATAAATATTTGTTTGACAAAGATAAATAATTTCATAATTTTAAGCTTATTCCTCTGAACTGCAATTTGGGCATTGAAATGATGCATGACATTTCAAAAAAAAATGCTAATTTATGATTTTTGAGTAATATTTCCTTCGTATGTCATGTTTTTAGACTTTTGAAAATATTAAGAGGCTGGCAGTAGTTAGCAGACAATATCAAGGAACGACCACTGCATTCTCATAATTCAATGGAAAAAGGATCTCCAGTTTCCACTTGACAGCATCCTTTCATACACTGTATACCACAAAGGTACAAACTGGCCAATAATAACACAAAATGATTTAAAACAGCTCAAAAACATGTAACAGCGGATTTTTTGTAATTCCTACCCCAACTGCCCTTTCTAAAGACTTTCTAAATGCAAGTAACTGGGCCTGCCTTGTTGATACTTCTGATCACACTTTTGAAATAAAATATCACCCACGGTTATGTTTTTGCTAATCATTATGGATTCTTAGTTTTTTGTTTTTTTTTTTTCCATTAGTATTGTTGCATATAACTTCTTTTTCTCATTTTCTTGAGAATAAGGGAGTTTTAATCAAAACAAACCCATCTGGCGCACCCATTCTCAATTGTAGTTCTGGCAATTTGATGACAAAAAGATGTGAGTGTTGTATTTCATGACCAGAAATGAACACGGTCAAAGAGGAAAAATCCAAAAAAAAAACCCACATGACCTACTATCTGTAGGTAGCTAATCACAGAGCCTTACTTGCATACTACACTACAATTCACACAAACAAAATAATACAGAGTGCAGCAGGAATATTTAAAACCATTCTGCAGAAAACAACTTTTCTGCTAGCAAACTTACTTGTTATTTCTGAAGCTGTATCATCAACAGATACAACAGACATGAACCAAACTCATCTTCATAGAAAATACATGAACAACAATATATGAATAACAACCATGCGAAGTGTACTGGTGTCACATGTTCACTTTTTTTGGAAAGCAAAAATCTTTAAAATGCATAACATTTCTGGAGGAGTTTTAAATGGGGACACAAAATTTGTTTGCCTTTTTATGAACCACCAGCAGACTGAAATTCAGACAGACTCTTGAAAGAAAGACATACATTATATAGATATTACCTGTGTTTCTTTCACTTTTCATGGAAAAGGAGATAAAAATCATGTTCAAATAAAAAGTTTGCAACTTGAGAATTCTCGACTTGACTAACTTATCAAGTTATTTCCTTAATAAGACCGCTTGAATTTCTTCTAGTTTGCTAGGAAGCGAAATACACTTTTAAAAGCCCAAGATAAATGGCAAGAGTTCTCCCTTAACTGAGACAGTAACAATTTGTTGGGATAAAAGATATTAAAACCTACAAGACAGTTAAAACAAATTCTTCATGTGTCTCATCTAAAATTAAAGGTTTCGTCAGCATAGGCTACAAATGAAAAGAAACAGTAATAATATGATTATTCCTGACATAACAGTGTTGCTTTGCCAGATGACAGAATGATTGTAATTGGTTATTTGTAAGACATTGTTTGGCTGTGGTACAAAGAACTTACATATACACCATGTCCTTTATCACCCAGTATCTGTGAGTATTTGAAAGACACTGTGATCTGGGTATTTGTTATACATTTGAAGTTAACAAAACAGCGAACTCAGAGACTTGTTCTGCTGCCAAAACAAAACACTCAACAATGACTCTAATGCAAAAATACGTTAGGCATATCAAATAATATTTCTCCCTGGTAATAGCATAAGAAAAAAAACTTCGAGATGTAATACATGTAGTTTGTTATGTACGGAAATATGATAGAGATATTATTCATGGTGTGGACTCTTTCTTCCATTTCCTCCAGAAACGTATTTTAATTCTGTAATTCTGTTTGCTTACGAATCATTAAACAAATTCCTTACCACATTTTGGTTGATCTTGTGCCTGCAACATGTAATGTAGACAACATACGGCCAGTCGTCAGGTTCCATCAGCACTCCTGCAGCATGGGCACAGGTTACATGGAAGGAAGCTGGACAGCGTCCATAAGAACACTGAATGCAGGCACCAGAAATTTTCTTAACTCTCTGTCTGCAGAAAATACATTTCTGTAGAAGCAAAAAAAAAAAAATAATTTTTTTTTTTAACCATACTACCACAGTTCCACTGACATCTGCATGTATCTCCAGGACTGAAAACTTATTTGTGCTTCACTGTTCACATTTTATACCTCATACCATGTGTCACAAAAGAATAAACATTTATGAACTGTATGCTAATATTGTAGTATGCTAATGATTAGATATAATTTATATTTGTTTCTTTTTATGTAAATGTAAGGACAACCTGTTTTGATGCTAAGCTAAGAAAAATGATATATAGATAACTACATAGAAGCTTAATTTCGAATTCCAAATTCCATACACTAATCTGAAAATTAACCTGCTCTTCCTACAGTATGTAAATATGAAAACCTATATATAATTCTGCACAAAGTAACAGCAAGACTCAGAAATAGAGTATTCCCACAAAAATGCAGGGCTAGATATGACTTCCAGATATCATTTAACCCAGCCTCCTGCTTTGAAGTTGGACTGAATCTATACCTACACAGGCTTTGGGAGATGGGTAATCCAACATATTCATACAAAGGTTTCCGCAACATCTTCAGATAACCTGTTACAGTGGTTACTTCTTCTCAAAGTTAGAAATGCTTTAGCTCATGCCATTGCATATTTCCACAGATGAAGGATGTTCCTATGTCCGTTTTCACTTTTTCCAGTCTGTTTTTTATTGATTGTGTATTTCATATAAAGGTAATAGAGTAGGCCATATTCCTCCACTTAATTTATAAAAACATTATGTCAAAAGCCTTACCAGTGCCAAGACATTCCACATTTATTCATTCTCCCAGTATGGAGAGTACATCAAAATACAGTATCTATTCTGTGTTCCTGTGATTCAGATTTCTTCATGGTTCTGCTTCAAGGCTTTTGTAAGTACAGGGCTTCTATGAAACACACAAAGAGCCCTAAGCAGAGCCATTAACTAGGCCTGGGAAATTAGCCCACCATACTATTAAAACAACAACAACTAAACAAAAACTGTGTTGTATCACATACGGGACTTAATTTCTGATAATTCTCACCACAGACTACAAAACAATGTTAGCAATTGTTATTGAAGATCATAAAATTGTCTCAGCTATTATAGAGTATAGCCATAGGATTTTACTTGATACAGAAACAGTAAATTCAGTAAGTTAAATACATGCTGTGGAAGCAGAGATTCCTTCCATTTGTTCTAATTTTTTTAGTCACTGATTTTGCCTGCCTGCTCTGGGAACAGGAGTAAGAATAATTTTGATTTATTTCTTACTGTATAATTAATAAATCAATATATTTCACATTAACTCACATCAAATTCTTCTTTCCAGGCTACCAGAAATTTTGTTTTGTTGATTATCGATTTCTATATTCTGAAGGAAATCTGCAGAAATTTCATTGTAGCAGTCAGAACTTATATTTCAATGGCTTCTGGCAGTCAGTTTGTGAGTGATATAATGATTTCTTCAAGTGCTAGCCCTGCCAAGTTCATCAGCCATTCAGGGTTCTAGTTCATGCATCACTTTGAACAGAAAAAAGCTCTTCAAATTCTGCTTTTGTGTCCAGCCCCTGAAAGCCAACAGGACTGAATGGCTTTGCACAAACGTATAGACGTAGAGCTCAGTGACATGGCTTAATAGTGGACTTGGCAGTGTTAGGTTAAAGTTTGGACTCAATGATCTTGGAGTTCTTTTCCAACCTAAATGATTCCATGATTACACGATTCTATGATAAAAGAAGCATCTGTCATCTGGAACTTAGTTATGTTTTTTGTCTTCATTCACAAAAGGGGCCAAAACCTAGCTCAGTCTGCTGTAGCAGCATTATGCCTGAAAGACTAGTATGAGGTAAAGATGATTTCACCCAATAAATGTTCTAGAGGTTTATCTGATAATGCTGGTATCAATCACATTGTGTGTTTGTATTCACATACACGAAACCATATTCAGATAAATAAAGAAACTGTTTCTTGATGGATCTTAGGGATATTTTTGTAAATACATATTCAGTACACAGTTAATTGGGAGTTCCAGAAATAAAACAGAACCACAATCTATTATATTTAATGTCTAGGCACTGAGCTCATGCAAATATATGGCTCAATTTGAATGCTTTTTCACATGTATTCACCAGTCAGCTTGACCAAAATAAGAAGGAAAGACTGAGTAGGAAACACACATGAGCATTGAAAATTCTAAATCTTAGTGTTATCCACAGAAATGGCTACACATTCTGATTGAAAAACAACAAAAAGAATGCAGTTCAAACAAAATTCAGAGAATGGCGAAAAGGTAAATAAAACAGGAAAGTATAGGTAAACTAGCAGTAACTTAGGTAAGTATGTAACAGCTGGAAATGATGGTCTCCTTAAATAACTGGCTGCATGTGTGCAAGGCAGCAAGTATACGAATGTTAGAAAGTGCTTCTATGTTTGTTCCATGTACTTCTACAGTATCATGAAAAGTTCAGAGGTGCAGAAATTAAAATATTACATTACAAGGGTAATGCTTCAGAAAAAAATGGAATTACAAATACATGCATACATGTACAATTGTTCTTTCGCTTTAATATTTTACAATTTAGTATCTATGAGAAGTGCAGAAGCTGGGGAAAATACGGGGACAGTCAGAGAAGACTGCTTAAGGCAAGCTCGAAGTGCAGCTGGGAAAAGTGAAGAGCTACCAGATTTAATGAAATGGCCAAATCCACAGAAATTGGAACAAAATTCCATCCCTCTCAGTAACAGAGTCCAAGTTTTCTGTTTTCCAGTCCATGTTAACTTAAAAAGAAATCATCAGACAAACTGACATATTGTAGGAAAACTAATTTCCCAAATTACTTTGCAGAGTTGCAATTTGAAAATACTGGGAAAAAAAGAAAAAGAAAAAAAAAAAGAGAGAGGAAAAAAAAAGAAAATACAATAAACTGTCAAATAACCATTGGCTATATTCTGTATTATGTCATGCTGGTGCAAAACTACAGTATTTCAGATTAACTGTTTATATAAAAGGAATACTACTTGGCATAAGTAATTACATGAATGCAGACTTCAAGCCACACAGTAAGTAAGTGAAAATGTTTCCTGTGTTTCAACAACGAAATGAATCCATCTCAGTGCCAAATACATGGAAGGTAGTTGTTACATCAGCTAACTCCAAACACACATTCGTCTTCTGTAGAATGCTCTTATTTTTCCTTTAGGTATCAAAAAAATTAGGATCACAGATATGAACAGGGAAGTTACTGTACATGCAGAACAACAAAAAAAATCCTATTTCTTCTTACATTTACCAGAAATACCAGAAAAATTCTGAATAACAGTCCTCTTTCATGTAGTACAAAAATAATCAAGTTTGATAAATAATGAAGCATTTCTTATTACTTCTAAGATGCTCTGTCCTTTGTACAACGCTGAAGGTCATGATGCTGATGTATGTTAGCTTTACAATGAGTCTCAATCCTGGACATGAATTTCAAGAAGTATATATATGTATAGATAAAAGGCATTTATACAACATTTACGAATTCACAACTTCTACAACTGCATCAGGCAGCATTTTCCCATTCAGAGATACAAGACAAAGCTCCTTCATCTTTAAAAATAAAAGTCAAACAGTTGATCGAATGTATTTCATTAATTAAAACCAGATGAAACTATAAAAATCTGCTTTGCATAGTTTTTAGGAACCTTAGCTGAGCTACATACCAAACTGTGTATTTTAGCTGTTAGTAGTAAATTGAACTGTGCTATGTCTGACCCATTTCACCAAGTCTTTCCCTCCGTAACTTCTAACTAGGAATGTATTTCTTATACCCTTGTTTGGGACTTTATTGAATATGAATTCAAATGGATTTTATCACCTTTTTCTCCCATTCTTATATATGCATATACATATACATGTACATATATATGTAAGAATGACCAGCATATGATCATTCATGACAAAAACAAATACTATAAATGTTTTGTTTTGTTCTTTTTTGTTTAAAAACATAAAAAAGAAAAATGAAATAAAGAAAAGATAATAATAAAGTGGCAAAGGGAGAAACATCAAAATTCTGAGAGAAGAATGGGAATCATCAGTTGCAAAGATAAAGAGACAATGGGGGAAGAGGCTCAGAATCAATCTTAATCAGAGATCCAGATGCAAAATGAATTGGGGAATAAATAAAATTGTTTATATAACTGGAGATTAAGAATATAGGACAGAACAATGCACTGTAATTTTCTAGATGGTGAAATGACCTATTTTGCCCCCAAAGTGAAAAAATATTCTGTCACAAATGGATTTCATAATCATGGAAGAGCTCTTTAATATTAATAAGTTGCAATTATATAAAAAGCATGGATTTTAAAGAACTCTGAGAAAACTGAATGGCAGCGTTTTGTAAAAGACCACTGATAGCTCTCATAATAATCTTTATGCATTTTTATATAAATAATTTGACATTGCTTCCCTCAAATAGAGTAATATTTACAAAACCAAATTCTAGACCCTAATAGGAAGATGTATTAAATACAGCAAAACTGCTTTCTGAAGCAAGGACTTATGAAAGCAAGTACAAGCCGATAGTTGTGGAAGAAAGTCAGGGCTAGATATCAAGAAACAATACGGAATGATTTATATGGAAAAGCTCACAGTAGTAAAGCATTAAACTCCACAAAGAGAAGCAATTTTGAGAGAGCCTCTAAAATTATTAAAATTAAATTTCTTAGTATTATTAAAAATCAACCCATAAGATCTTCTTTTCTACTGCTGCAGGTGGTTATTGTCCGCTGGTCAGTAACTGAATTGCATAGTCTCATTCTCTTTCATTTAGCTGGCAATTTTGGCCTTTTAGGTATTATTGGAAACAAAGACTAAGAAAGAAACACCACTGTAAAGTTTAGGAACTTAGTAAAAATCACAGGTGATTTTTTTCTTTCTGTGAGATCTTCTTTAGCATTTTGTAATGAAGCTTTGCTTCAGAATTTATATCACCATACAAACAGCATTGCTGTT